TCTCATCTGTTTTCAACATGGTCTTCTGAATTCTCACCCATTCTGCAGTCTTCCCACCAGAGTGTGAATTGGGCAGTATCTTCCTTAGCTCACCTCTGTCTCTTCACTGCTTCAGCTCACCAGACCCCCTTGGAAAATCATTGGAATCAGAGTACTTTGCAGTTTGTTCTCAGCAGCACTTTTGCCTTAACATCCTCGTGGTATTTCCAACCACTCGTGCACTTCCTAGCCACTTCTCTTTTCTACTCCTGTACCTTCCTCTGCTTGCCAAAGATCTGCTGCATTTTTTAAGATCCAATTAAACTGTTGTATCCTTTCACAACTTTTTAATAGTTTTCCCAGGCTCTTCATCCTGCAGCTGTACACAGCACTATACTAAAACTTACATCCTAGAATCTGTGGCATTAAATTGTAATGTCAAATAGATATATGGGCAGCCTGTGTGAGTGCACACTCCCCCCCCCCCACCCCCATACACACAAACCCTACTCTTCAACTCCTTGACAGTCAGGTCTGAGGTAGATACAAAGATGACTGAAGTGTCTGACACATTACTTTCCACCTTTACATAGTGTCAGCGTGTGCTGACACTGCAGTTGGATGGGTGGGTGGGTGGAGTTTAAAGTTAAAATTCCACGGTTTAAAGTCCGACTGTCCAACCTGACATATACAAAAGGGTCTTCAGAAAGTCCAAGGAAAAGTGAAATTAAGATACATTTAGTTTTGTGAAGACAGTCTGAAATCCAGATTGTTCATAACATACATTTCCCACGTGCTTCTTGGAGACCCCTTGTTATCATACGCTGTCTCCATGGTTCTAGTCTCCTCTCCTTGCCTGTCCCCAGATAACTTTCCAGCTTCCCAAGTTCGCATTTTTGTGTAAGTTCTTTAGACCATGGATGGAGGGATTAGATCCTAAATGCCTTTTCTTCATCCATGCTTGCAAAATGCACTCCTTCAAGCAGCTCAGAAAATCCTATTTTCAAGACTTCGCTTTCCAAAAATGTAACCCCCACTGTTTCCTGTCACCTCTGCCAGTCATCTCAGAACATACGGGTACCTACTTGCTTTTCTGCCTTCAGACACTGGCTTTACCAACACTCGGACTTCATTATTAACTTATTCATTGTACATTAAAAGTTGACTTAAAGCCAAGTCCATTCTGGCGATCCGTGGCCCCACTGTCAGTCCACAGTCCAAAGACAGCATTACTGTTGACATTGATGTACTTGGCCAGTGGTAATTTGACAATCTGTAGGCTCTCTACCTGGTAGTTTTTTACTGTACTTATTTTTCAACATATAGACCCTTTGACAGGCAGGCAAAAAGCCCCTGGATGTTTACCCCTGCTTTCTTCATACAAATACAAAATCGAGTTTGGCCATGACAGCTTTTCTGTACTATTCTAACCCACAATGCAGAACAGACTTTAAAATCATACCTGTTGGGACCACTTTTCTGCCCCATTAGCAGACTGTCTTTGAGCGATCTTGCCCTAGAAAACAGGTCACGCACATGTTTAACTTGAAAATGTGGAACACGGCGCGGGGTGCAGATCTGCTTCCGCGGAACTGACATAGGCTTGCCTACGCTTTCTCTCAGTTGCAGGCACCTTTAGCTGCACCATGAGGTTCACCGTCCGGGACTGTGACCCTAACACTGGGGTTCCAGATGAGGATGGGTATGACGATGAGTATGTGGTGAGTCTCCCCTGCAGACACGGTCTGACCTTTGCAGCATCGGGCACTGCTGCTCCGACAGCATTTGACTAGGGACGTCTGACGCGAGGTTTCTGGTCCCGCACAGATTACAGTTAAGGAGGACCTCACTGAATCCCGTGACGGATGCCAAGGAGAATGGAGATTGACCACTGGATAACTAAAACGCTCCTTTTCCTTTATGATGGGATAATTAAGAGATGAAAATAATTACGTGATGTTCATGCAATTATAATATACGAAACAGGCTTTATTCAGAATGGTTTTTGATTTTGTTGCTATTCCAGCAAACAAGCTAAGTAGCCAGATCGTGACCTGAGAACCCTCCACAGAATGGAGGCAGCAGCTGCCCGAGAAGTGCCACCCTGTGCTGGGTGCAGAGTTCAGGAGGTGCAGGGCGGTCACGTGGGGCAGCCTCACTGCCTCGTACCTCAGGCCTGCAGATGTTGATCTGAATTTGGCTCGTGTCAGATGTCCTGTTTTCTTGCTTTCCTTTGCTAAGGCCTGTGGCAGTGCATTTATCCAGACTACGCAAAGTATTGTGGGCATGGAATTTTTCATAGGTTTCTGCAGGGATGTTAGCACAGAACGATGAGGGATTAGTCCCTTCCACTTCTGTTTGTGTGGAAAGCACTTTTGTTTGACCCCTGCTGCTTGCCCGCCAGCTGGAAGATCTGGAAGTGACTGTGTCTGACCACATTCAGAAGGTACTGAAGCCTAACTTCGCTGCTGCCTGGGAAGAAGTGGGAGATACCTTTGAGAAAGAGGAGACCTTTGCCCTCAGTTCTACCAAAACCCTTGAAGGTGAGAAGGGTTTTGCTAACGAGGGGTTACATAATAGCAGTGTTAAAACCTACAAGGCTATCTGTTAAAGAAAACAAGAACTCTCATGTCTCTAAGGGCTTGATAAATCATTTACTTAGAAGGTCCTCATCGTCCGAGTCCAGCCATCTTACCGTCCTGTAGCCTCTCTCCACAAATCACAACCCCGCCCCCTGAGCTCCCAGCATACACTGGTGCAGAGGTGGGCCCCCACCTTGTCTAATGCTGCTGCATGAATCTTCTCCACACAGAAGCCGTCAACAACATCATCACCTTTCTGGGCATGCAGCCGTGTGAGAGGTCAGATAAAGTCCCGGAGAACAAGAATTCCCACTCGCTCTATCTGGCAGGTAAGAGTTCCACTGGACTTCCCATCTGTTTTTGTTGGAAAATTCAGCAGAACAGGTTGTAGGTAGGGCTCCCACGTCCTGCCGTCATCCTTTCATCCCATTAACGAGTAGCAATTTGAAGCTCAGTCAAAATGAACACTTGGCTTGCATGCTATTCTTATTTTTTTAGGTTGTACATTTGGCCTGTCCTATAGATACTAAGCTCACCCCACCCCACTGTTGTTGAGTACCTTCTATGAATCTGGTCTCATGGGAATATAAAAAATAAATTTTAAATTTATATGTAGGATTCAGTTCCCACAAATCACTAGAAAAGCTCAACTAAAATAATAGAAAGGAGATCCAAGCAGGGCATAATCAATTGCGTCATTCAGAGCTTGTTTTGCAATAATATGGTTTTCAATTTTTTTCTTTCAGGTATATACAGAGGTGGCTATGATTTATTGGTGAGGTCCAGGCTCGCCTTAGCAGATGGAGTAACCATGCAGGTGACTGTCAGAAGCCAAGAAAGAACACCTGTAGATGTTATCTTGGCTTCTGTTGGATGAGATCTTCCTGGGCAAGAAGTTAATGGACACTTCGCTGTAGGTGGGTTTTAGGCTACTGGCATGAAGTTCCCAGAATCACCCCTTCAAAGGGTAATGACTTTGGAGAAGCAAATTAAACATTCAGCCCCGAGCCAGCAGATCAAGCAAAATCTGTCCTTATGCATGGATTCTGTTTATTTCCTTTTTCTTTTTCTTCACTTGATATGACAGCTTTGGTATGACAGTGCAGCATTGGGTGAGCTTGAAAATCAAATACTATTCTGTCCTTTGGCTGCTTAACTTCATTATATTATTTTCTTTTAACGTGTGTCTGAAAGCTCCTGGCAATGTTGGAAAATTTTATCCCCGAGGGGTGGCGAGAGGGGGGGAGGGGAAGCCAGAGTCCACTTTTGTCACAATTCATTTTTATTAATAGAAAATAAACACTTATTCCAGTTTCAAAGTTGTTATACTTGAAGTTGCTAATAAAAAATGAATTTAAAATAATCACTTAATAATCCTGCTTTGACTTAGACAATGAAAGTGTGGCTTTAAAAAAAAAAAATAGTATTCAGCACCATTTGCTCATAGGTCTGTCAGAATTTGTTCTAAAGTTCCTGGAACTCTCGTGCATTGCTGAGAGCGCCCAGCATTGCTGAGCTGTGAGAAAGCCACCGGGACGTTAAGCAGTCATCACGAGACTCAGTGCACGCTCCACAGGGTCACTTGGACTGTACACCAGCCCCTCCCCTCCGCTTTGGCTCAGGAGGGCCATGCTTCCAAGCACTGAGCTCTGAGGAGGCAGACTGTTGTGTGCTGTTAGAGTGGTCTTCCCAGCTAATAACAGCACATCTCTGCCACAGATGGACTTGGTCCTTAATGTCCTACGATTTTCAGAAATTCTGTAAATCGTTTGGGTATTCAAAAACTGAGCATGTTTCAGAAGGCTCGTTACTCTGGCAGAGTGAGGGTCTGCTGGTTAGCTGGATCAGGGACAGGTCAGTCAGTCCTGAAGCACACTGCGAATCCTGTGTTATGTAAACCAATACCTACGTCAACTAAGTGTCTATAAGTAGAAGTAGCTGATGAAACTAAGTCTAACGTTACAACAAGGGGGACAGAAAACTATGAAAAAGCACGTGTCCTTAAAGGCATCCCAGAAGACGTACGCAGGCCCCTCCCCATCCTTTGCTAGAGGATTCAAAGAGACTGGGCGAGAGGAGGGCACTTCTGGGTATTTCAGCAAATTCCCACAAGTGTCTCCTGTGCAGAAGGATGTGTGCCCTGTGCACCACTGGTAGTGCCCGTCAGAATTTCCTAAGCACGCACAGACAGCGGCAGTCAGACACGGTCAGATGCCGTCAGAGGGACGGGAGGAGGACAGTGCTATGTCAACTCAGTGCCTCTGCTGGCCTCTTCCCGTACACTGCCCACCAGTGTGAGGGGAGTGACTTCTGTGAGGGGACAGTGGGTGGCCAGGACCTCTTTTGGGCATCTCCTCCTAAGTGGAACACACACAGATAGGACTCGGGGGAGGTCAGACAGGGAGGCTACGCTTTCCAGCTCAGAAGGAGTTGATGAAGCCCATGTATGCATTCAAGAAGCCCATGGGGTCCTCTAGCTGTGGGTAGTGGCTAATGTGGTCATCCAGAATCGACACTGTGGACCTCGGCAGCGTTTTCCTAGTGGAAGAGAACAGCAGGTAGGTGAACGGAAGGCTGAGGGAGGGGGTGGGGGGGAGCCAGTGGGAAGCCCCAGTAGAAACGCCCTTGCAGACACACCGCACTGCAAAGAACCAACAGCAAGTTGAAAATCCAACACTTCCGCGACAATGGCCAAAGCAGGATGACATCCCGCGCCTCAGAAAAGCGGGACGCATCAGACAAGCAGATCCCCTCAGCAAGTCAGTGCCCAAGCCAAGAAAGCAAAGGACCTTCCTATTAATTCCAGGAGATGAGAAGAGGGTATCTGGTTTAAAAATACATGTGAGCCATTTACTGCCGTGTTGTGTCCACGCAGCCATCGGAAGGCAGGGGAGATTCTTATGTGATACAGTGGGGATTTCACACTGCCGCGCGTTCTGAGTAACTCCCTACGGAGTAAGAGCCGGCGAGAAGGCGCCCTTCCACAGAGCGCCCATCTCCAGCTCCTGCAGCGTGCGTCGCTCAGGCTACAGCATTTCTTAAGATACAGCCACTGTCGCTCTCTGGTTCACATGGTGCTTTCTTACCTGTACACCAAGGAATAGGTAGCAGCCACTCCAGCGAAAACAGACTGTACAAACCAAGAGAATATGTAACTGAATCTCTCCAACTTTATGTTTATGTTAGAATAGACGCCTTGATTCGTCTTGTTCCTGGATGAACAGCCAATGACGTCAGAGACAACGGCTACAGCTAGCAACTCTCAACAAGTGATTTTGTGTGCCACTGTCAAGATGAAGTCGTAACAAAGAAGACCTCCGCGACTCACCTGTACAGTTCCAAAAACTCTGGATAGGGATTTATAGGATCCAGTGGCCCATAGATAAAGTGAACTAGGGAAGAGAGAGGGGGATGAGTCACTAACAGCTCGCCTGTCTATTCTTCTCCTATACTAAAATTTTAAGAATTTTTTTCTATAAATAAGTCATGCTTTAGGTAGGCAGTTTTATCAAGTAGGTTCTAAAGAACTGTTGGGAACAGTTCTCTTAGGGACGGCCGTTTGGTCCATCCTGCAGCCCTTATGCCCCACTTGCACCGCTCCCTTCCTGGCCATCCAGGACACTGCCATTCTTGACATCTCTTCAGCTGTAAGTGGCCCTATTCATTTAAAAGTCAACAAATAGTTTCCCGAGCACTAACTACTGTGTTTGAGAGACCACACCGATTTTCTTTTTAAATCTGTGAGAATAAAGAACGCAAGAGCACAAACCACCAGCAGCCGACTGATCAGTAACCGAAGCAGCCTTTGTCCCACAGTCAGCTTCTAATGTGGCAGTCACTGACGAAGCACACACAGAGACCAGGCACCCCGGCCCCCGGCCCTGCACACTTCACCCCACACCCGCCGCGGGTGTTCCAGAGGTGCAGGGCAGGGGTACCGAACAATACAGGGCTCCCGGGGAAATGTGCATTCCCGACAGGAAAATGATTTTGGGGTGAGGGTGTACGTGTGTCCCAATATTGAACAGCACAAACTCACTACACTAAAAAAAGCTGTTATTTACTTAAAATTGTATCTGCTAAATCGGGTAACCCTAACTGGGGGTGACAGAAGTTTAACGCCACAGTCTTTCAATTTTCCTATCAGGAAGGAACATAAAAATACTCACTGGGAATAGTTACGGAGGCAAGCGCTCCCACCCAGCGTCTTCTAAACTTCTTCCTCTGGTTGATGTACTGTAAGAGACTGTAGGACAGGAGAGTCAGAACGGGCAGAACCAGAAACCTGGACCCGTAGGCAAAGGCCTAGAATGAACCAGAAGGAACACAGGATCTACATTTGCTTAATACTTGGCATTCCTGGCAGCGGCCTGCTTGATTTATCCATTTCACAGAGCTCCAGCAGTGGCCACGCCTACTCTCAACGCCAGAATGCGCAGCTCTGTGTGTTCACCGAGAAGGGGATGTGATCTAGAAGGCAGACGGTTGGTTTGGATTTTACGTGACAAAAGCCTGGTCTAATTTGGCTCTACTGCTAACCAGCTCTGTGATTCAAGGGTGTAACACACATCTTTTGACTTCAGGTTCCTTGTTTTTAAAGCGAGATTGAAACACAGCAGTGAAGATGCCCCGATCCCACGGTGGAGTAGCTGGGTTTAACGCCTGTTCCACTCCCGCTTTCGGCTTTCTGCTAACGCGCACTGGTGGAGGCGGTGGGTGATGGCTCAGACAGCCAGTTCCCCGCCACCCCCATGGGAAACGTGGGTTGTATCCCCAGTTCCCAGCCGTCGTGGGCACCAGGGAGTGAACTGCAGATGAGAACCTGCTCGCTCTCCCTCTCTCAAATAAATAAAGTCTGAACTGCGTGACCTGTCCGTGGACATGTGCCTCCAGGACTCTAAGTATAGAAGTCCATGCACACAAAGCTGCCTCCTCCGACCACAGGAAGGAACGGAGGAAATCCCTCTTCCTCCAAGGTCAGGTGCCAGAGCCGCCTCTTAGAATTCAAACTCATGTGTTCTAACTGTTCTGTCTCCCTGCCAATCTCAGAACTGTTATTTTTGTAACTTCAAATATCATACCTCTTAGTATTTACATTTTGGGAGGAAAATTTAGCAGAGAGTCTTGTATTTCAGTTTTTTAACGTTAAGAATCTGCAGGGATCCCGTGAGAGTCAGGGTGGGAAGAGCAGTGGCTCCCAGGCGCGCACAGTTCTCAGCAAACCCATCACTGAGCACCCTGGACGCACGCTGACCCGGCTGGCAGGAGCACCGGGCTTTATCTCAAATAGTTCCAGGTAGCTCTATCTGTAGATTTCTCTGTGAAAGCCGCCACATTCTCATGGGAACCAAGGGAAGGGACTTCTTTGTAAAGACAGACATCTTCTCTCTGTCACTGTTACTACAGAGAAAACTGCAGAAAGAAGAGCTCTGGGCTCAGAGGCACTAAGCTCATTTTCCACGCTCTGAAGCATTTAGTATCCCCACAAAGTGCAAACCGCTTGCCAGAGTTCGTGGGCCACCTGCAGACTGCGATAGCATTGCAACGTGCAACTGGTCCTCCAGAATTCCCGGGGCTCACTCTGTGGCTGCTCCCTTCTTGCAGAGGGCACACCAGGCGTGATTTGGGCTTGCTTCTCAGGTCAGAAGCACCCTTGTTGTGATAGCAAACGAGCCAGCAAGCCTCCCGCCCCTCCCCAACACAAGCCAAAGGGGTTTCTCACCTGTCGATCACTAGGTTCCCGTCGTTGTTGCGGACCCCTGCCCACATGTCCCACAGCTCACTTTCCGAGGGTCTCGTGTAGGGCCCGAAAACGGGCGTGAGACTGAAAGAGACCAAAATGCGGAGAGGGAAGTGTGAGTGGATGGAGGGTGGCACACGGCACCCGAAGCTCCAAGGCCGCGCAGTTTGGCCCTTAACTGACTTAGGAATAGGCGGCCAACACCTGTGCTTTAAGACAGCAAACCGTAGGATGCGGCCCAGAACTAAAACGGCAGCAGCTTTTCCCCGCTTCGTGCCCAGTCATGGTTCCTCTGACAGTGACTTACCCTCGAGAGAATATGAAGAAATTCATGAGCCGCGTGAGGATGGGCGACAGCACACCTCCATCTTTGAGCAGCTGCCGACAGAGGAGCAGTTGTGAAAACCCAGGCTCCGGGGCGCGACCAGCAGGACAAAGGGTTCTACTCGAGCAATGGAAAAGCTATCTAGCCAAATCCACCGACTGCTTGGGACTTCGGTTTTGTGGGGTTTTGTTTTACCTGCCCTCGTTCTCTCACGGAAGACACATCTATCTTCCCTTAAATTCTGTTCTTCCCTAACTAAATCCCACTTTGAGTTCTGACACATGGACGTTGAGACTGGAATCCAAGTTTGTCCAGACGTCAAGTATCCATGTTGACAGAGCTGTACTGCTGCGAGTATGTCTTCATTTTTATTCTCAAAAGGAGCTCTAAGTGTTC